CAAGTCTGGATCCACCTCTGAAGGGCCCATGCCAACCCAATGCACAGGTTAACATACAGATTAGCACATGGTAGCTCAGGAGAGTTAACACTCCCTCTTAGCAAGCCTAGTAGAAGCAAGTCAGCACAAGGTCTCCAAAGGCCTAATTTTCATGGGTAAGCATTGCAGGATCAGCCTGTAAAGCAGTAAAATTCATGGAACATGATTCCTTACATGGAGGTTATTGATCAAGCACAAATTTGATGCAATCCAGTTCTATTGAATTTGACCCTAGGTTGTTGGATTAGAAATCCTTAACAATTCTTAAAAGCAGTGAAAATATTAATGTTTCAACTAAGGAAAATGTTTGAAAGGAAAGCTGTGGGGTTTGTTTTGATTATTTTTTTTTAAAAAACCCTCTTTTTCTAATGAATAAACTCTCTGAGACCTGTCAAGTTTTAACTCTGGATTGGCAATGATATGAAGGCAAGACAGAGACTGAAATGAGAAAGATGTTATTTCTGGTTACGAAGCAATGAAAAAGAAGTGCTTGAACATAAAAGACTTTATAAAAGTATTCAGAGTCTCATAATTTTCTTGTACATTCCTAGATACAGCCAGCGCAATTGAGAAAAGGATGCAGAAGAGCAGGCGGCTGATCATCCTTCTAACACATCATTTGATTAATTGCAAAGAACCTGCTTATGATCAACACATTGCTTTATACAATGCTCTCATTCAAAATGATACAAAGGTGATCCTGCTGGAAATGGAGACAATTGGGACTTATGAGAAGCTGCAGGAATCTCTTAGGTTTGTTATTAAGAAGCAAGGTACCATCAAATGGAAAGAGCAGCACACTGTGCACCCACAGTCACTCAATTCTAAGTTCTGGAAACAGGTGAGGTACCACATGCCACTGAGGCTCAGGCCTCTGTCCTCATCTAGTGTCAGGTGAAAATCCTGTTCCACTGTCAGGATGGACCACATGCCTGCACCTCATTTTCCATTCAGTAGGTACATTATTTTACCACCTGGAAGCCTGGCAGGACTTTTAAATTTTTTCAGTCTTTCAGTTAAGTAACAAAAAAGTAAAGTGATGGAGGAGATCTGGGCAACTGAGGGAAGTTTTTACAAGTGTGGGAGTTCTGTAAATAAATCATTCTGTGTAGAATTTTGCATGTCACAGGAAGCAAAATGTGCCTATACCCTTTTGACATATATTTGAACACAGAAATGAAGGCTATGATTCTGAGTAGCTGAATGCCCTGAAGGTTTGCTTTACCTTTCCAATGCAGCTGACCAAACATAAATGTCTTCTGTCTTATTTGACTCGAAACTATAATGTATATTATGTGAATAGAAAGTAGAGTGTTGTGCTTTTAATTTTTTTCCCCACCACTTATTTGTTTTTTATTCAATAGTAATACTCATACCATGAAATTGCATTTTTTCGTAGTGTGGATGCTTCAGAAAAAACTCTTTTGAGACTGATGAGAATATAGCATTTAAAAAAAAAATACAATGTTAAGGGAAAAAAATACACTGGTACATAATTATATGAATTTTATATATTTTTATATATATACATTAAAATGTATCTCACAAACATGGGAATTTTTAAATCTTTCATTTATGACAGAACATGTTGTTACTGCTGTTATTATCTCCAGATAGAAATAACATTTTAAAATTGAGGGTGTTTAGGGTGTTTTTTTTGTAGACTGATAGCATTCCTTTAAGCTATGAGAAAAAAAGAGGCTGCATTTTTGTAACAGGCAGTAGCCACTTCTTTTCCTCCCTGCTCTGTCCTTATGCCTAGCTACACTTTCTTCTGATAAGGAATGCACGAAGCTGTGAAGGTCAGAGCCAAATCTAGTTCAGGGATGTACAAATGAAATGTGTTCTAGTACAGATATCCTTGGAAACTTTAATCTTTTTAGCTTCTTAGAGCTAGGAATTTTCTTATTGTTGGAGAAAGCTTGGTTTTGAGCTTCAGGCTTGCTACAGAACAGACTCAAAAAGTGAAAAGTAAATGCAGAAAACCAAATGTTACCGAGTTCCGGCTTACAGAACAGGAAAGTGCTTTCCTTCTAAGTTTCAAGTTAATGTGGATGTTCAGACTTGTGGATATCTATTTGGAGTAGGAAAAATATGGATGTGACATATATAGATTTTCTATCAACATAAAATTTAATGTTCTATGACAAGCTAAACAGCTTTTCATTAATTAGTTATATTTTCATGTACTCATTGCTCACTTTCCACAACTAAAAAACATCCAATGTTGCATTTAATTATCACTTCATTAGATTGTGTGCAGTGTTGGGTCCTTTTCATGAAGATCCCTCTAGGTAAACGTCACTAACTCTGTAGAAGCCCCACAAAATGGGTTCATGCCACTATAAGAGACTTGCTTTATGCCTACAGTACCACTTCTTCCCATGGAAAGAACACTAATACTAAGTCATGTGTAAAGGCAGGAAAACCTGTTCCTTTACACTATGAAGATTTTTCACAGCAGCTTCTGAACAAGACAGAATATTCCCTTCCAAGATTATTACAAGATCGATTTTTAAGAGATTTTTATATCCTAGGCACTTGATGAGGAAGAAAGATGATAACTGACTATCTTAGGAACAAAAAGCCTAGGATGAATTTTGAAGCTGTAAAAGTAGAAGGAGGAGAAAGTAACAAAAAACAAGGAAGTGCACGGGGTCAACAGTGAAACAAATTACTCTGAAATGTACTGACACCTCATTGACTTCTGTAAACCAGGCATGTACCTGTGATCGTGTAGCTGAGACGACAAACTCACTAAATGACTCTTGTGTTGACACCCCTTTTGTATCAAACTTCATGGTCAGTCAAGAAAAAAGAGGAAAACAATATCAAACAAACTCTGAAAAGTGTTTGTTTACCAGCAGTGAAGAGTATGGCCTTGACAAAAAGAAAAGAGGCAAATTCTGAGAACTTCAAGTAAGTTTTACAGAACCTAGGGAGTGAGTATATGACTGCAATAATGTAAAAAAACCCCCACAACCCAACAAAAAAGCAGCAGTTGTCACTTCTTGTTGTTTTCTAATATTGATTAGTAAAGAAATCTAAGATACACATTAAAATTAGCGTCTTTCTACAGATGTTATCACATTTTTAGTATTAAAGAGAAAACAACATTATTACAACATCAGCATTGCTGAGGCCACATCTGGAGTCCTGTTTCCAGTTCTGGGCTCCTCACTAGAAGAAAGACATTGGACATATTGGAGAGAGTACAACAAAGGGCTGGAGGAAGATGAGGAAGGGGCTGGAGCATATTTCCTATGAAGAAAAGCTGAGAGAGCTGGATCTTTTCAGCCTGGAGAAGAGAAAGTTCCCATTTGAAGGGAGGGTGCAAAGAAGAGGGAGCCAGGCTCTTCACAATGATGCCCATTGACAGGACCAGAGGCAATGAGCAACACAGGACTTTCCCACTGAAATCAGGAAATACTTTTTTTTATGGTGAGGGTGACCCAACACTGACACAGGTTGCCCAGGGGGAGTTATGGAGTCTCCATTCTTGGAGATAGTAAAAAATGGCCTGGACACAATCCTGGACAACCAGTTTTAGGTGGCTCTGCTTGAGCAGAGGAATTAGACTGGGTAACCTCCAGAGGTGCCTGCCAGCCTCAGCCATCCTTTCATTCTGTGAAATGAGACATTAAAATAATCTAAATTTAAAAAAAAAAAAAAAAAAAAAAAGTTTTTAAAAGAAAATTGGCAATTTGTTTTTTTTTGTTTTTTTGTTTTTGTTTTTTTTTTCCATATTACCTCAGATAAAAGCAAAGTACACTAGGCAGCCTGCCTTAGTGGAATAACAAAAGGTGTAAAAAATCTCTCCTTACACCATAGAAAGATCGTAAAAGAATCAGTTTGAATACTTAAAGCTTAAACCACACAGAACTTTTTTTTTTTTTTTTTCTTTTTTCTTTTCCCTGAAGTACAACTTTCATGTAGTGATTTAATACCCTTTAATTCCTCCTCTGTGTTTCTCTGATTTTGGTATCTCAAGTGTCTCCGGAGAGCAGATGTGCTACCCTTGTTACTAGAGCAGGGTAATTATGCCATCTGGTGGATGAGCAGGTATCAAGAGATTCAGACCGATAAGAAACGAATCAGTTTAAGAATGGCTTTAGCATTAAACAAAGTGAAATGTTCCTGGTGTGCACGCTGCTATAAGCTCCTGAAACCCATGCAGCATTACTTGAAAACAGCAGCTCAGGATCTGGCATTGAGTATACAGTGCTGCCTCTCCTACAGTAACATATTCTGAAGGAATAGGAAGAAGTGTCTTCTTGCTATATAACTGCAGTCATACAGAGTTGTATGTGCCCAGCTACAAAATCCTACCTCACCTCATAACTGAAAGGCATATGTTGCATTGCTGGCAATAAAAAAAAAAAATAACAGAGAGACCAGAATGAGCACTGACTTCACTGACACTGAAGCCAGTGGTGAAGCTCCTGGTGACTTCCAAGGTATGAAAAACAGTTCCTGCTAATATGAAGTAAGTTAACTGCAAGCAACACGTGGAATGTTCTGCCCTCCTTGCATATGCTATTAATATACACCAGTCCTTTGTGTGAATATCTTGAATGGTTTGACCTTGAGGTCTGCTATACTGTTATTTGATATTCCTACAGCTCAACGCAACATGACCTCTGCTGGCTTCTTCACTTAAACGACAGTACTGAACAGCCAGCTTAGCTATTGCGCCTGCCACATTCAGGAAGAAAGTTTTACCTAAATTTGCCTCACATGGTTGTGAAGCACAAGAGACTGACCACTAGAACAAAGTTTTTCAAAGCTTTAAAAAGTTTTTGTACTGTGTGTAACATTAATTTTTTTTTTCAATATTGGACAAAGATATGTTTGGAAAGTAATATGTTAAATTGATAACATATTCTATAAAAAATTTATATATGTACAACTCTCTGTTTCTGGCTCTTTCTAGGGTGGACTAACTGCAGCTGTCATGTTAGAAATGTGTCCTCCCTTTTCTCACTTTAAACTGTGAGCTGCATGTCTGATTTTCTATGAAAGACAGAATATGTTGTGTAGCATTTGATTCTTTAAAACTTTTTTCAGTCTTTATAGACCTCTGTCCTTGAGAAGACAATGCAACAAACCTCCTTGATGCTATTTCAAAGTGGATGAAGGAGAAGAAGCTGTCTGGATTTATAAAAGACAAATAATGCACGTTCAACCATGCTGCAGATAGTGGCAGAATCCTGGATGCTTCATACCTTGAATTGATCAAGGCCTTTGACAGAGTCTGTTGGTGGAATACAGATAAGTTGACAAAGGCAAGTGGAAAAACAGCTAGTGGAAAAACGATATCCGTGTGTGATCAACATGTTGTGCTCAGTATACAACTAACCTACCAGGTCAAATTTTGTGCTCACCAAACAAGGCACTGACATACTAGAGTGAGTCCAGGAAAAGACCACCAAGAGCATAGGACATAGAGGGAGAGGTCAAGAGGTCCTGCTTCTGTCTACAGAAATGTAAAAGAAAGATAGAATAGGTTGACCCAGACTCTTCTCAAAGGACCACAGCTATGGGACCAAAAAGCAACTGGAGTAAATTAGAACATAGGAAATTTGAATTAGATATTAAGAAAAAAAAAAATAAATCACTGTAAGCATGGTCAAATACTGGAACATGTGCCTAGAGAGGCTGTGGGATTTCCATCCTTGGAGGTGTTCAGGACTCAGCTGTACATGTTCTGAGCAGAGGGTGAGACTGATGACCTCCAGAGGTCCTTCCAACATGGATTATGCTGTGATACTACAATGTGGAGGAGAGTTTGAAAAGAGAGTTTGTGCAACTATGAGAAACATATGAGGCTCTAACAGAAGCATTAGCAGTCTGGAACCTGCTTTTTGACATCAGAGGACAGCTGAAAAATTTACAAAATATAACTTAACTTCTGCTAAGGATTAGTATAACTGGTGTACAGAGATATCAGAAGTAGATCAAAAAGGATTATTACCAGCTAGAAGCAAAACTTCTTGTACTGTGGTTACAAGAGTTGAATGTGTTGCTATTTATGATGGAAATAATTTCACATTTTAGGTTTTTTGGCTAGCACCTCTGTGTAGTGTGTGTTGGATGGAAAGGAAGATCTGAAAAATTGTGATAAGCAATTGGTGTTCTTTAGCTGATTGGTCAGGTGGTCACAGCTTCACACAAAAATCTGTTTTTCAATATTAGTGCAAACTTTCATTTTCATCATGGTATTTTCATAAGGAAAATTTGAGCTGTAGCTATTTTTGGTTGAGTTACTTCTCTACTATGAGGCTATGACTTCTCCATTAAAATTGCATTAATCTGGGAACTAAAAAGTATAAACTGTATTCTCAATCATCCAAGTGCAAGGTCCTGCACCTGGGCTGAGGCAATCCCAAGCACAAATACAGCTTGGGTGCAGAATGGATTGAGAACAGCCTTGAGGAGAAGAACCTCGAGGTCTTGGTCGATGAAAAGCTCAACACGAGCCGGCAGTGTTCACTTGTAGCCCAGAAAACCAAATACATCCTGGGCTGCATCAAAAGAAGCATGGCCAGCAGATGAAGGCAGGTGATCCTTCCCCTCTACTCTGCTCTTGTGAGACTCCACCCAGAGTACTGTGTCCAGTTCTGAAGCCCCCAAAACAGGAAGGATGTGGAGCTCTCTTGTAGTGAGTCCAGAGGAGGGCCACGAAGATGATCTGAGCTCGGAAGCACCTCTTCTATGGAGACAGGCTGAGAGAGTTGGGGCTGTTCAGCCTGCAGAAGGCTCCAGAGAGACCTCACAGTGGCCTTCCAGTGTCTGAAGGGGCCTACAGGAAAGCAGGGAAGGGACTTTTTACAAGAGTGTGTAGTGATAGAATGAGGGGTAGTGGTTTTAAGATGGAAAAGGGTAGATTTAGGTTAGACATCAAGAAGAAATTCTTCACTATGAGGGTGGTGAGACAGTGGAATAGGTTGCTTAGGGAGGTTGTGGATGCCCTCTGCCTGGAAGTGTTCAAGGGCAGGTTGGACGGGGCTTTAAGCAACCTGGTCTAGTGGAAGGTGTCCCTGCCTGTGCAGAGTTGTTGGAACCAGGTGATCTGTAAGGTCCCTTGAAGCCCAAACCACTCCATGATTCTATGATTGTATGATTCTACAATCGCATATTGCAGAACTAGTTATGACATTAGGTGAAAGGACTAATTGAACACAGAACTTCCTACAACACAGATGAAAGTTCAGAAACTTGAGAGTATTTCAAAAGGATATGAAAGCAAAGAAATGTGAGAACATCTCATGGAAAATATTGCTGTGCAAGAGTCAATTAAAAAAATAGATATTTCCAAAGTGTCTCTGTCAAGACTTGGCTTGTCAAAGTAAAAAGCTGATGACATTTTGCTTTACCATTTTATTTGTTGGCAGTTAAATTGTTTTTTGGACTCTTATGTAAAATCATTATTCACTATGATATATGCTTTCTTTAATTTTTAAAATCAGACACTGAGTCATAAAATCAAAAACTACTGCCAAGTACCTTGTACATATTTTTAAAGTAGTTATAGTGGGTCAAATTCTTAGCTGGTTTTACTGAAGTTGTGCTGATATACAATCATCTCAGTCTGTGATTAGGAAAACAAATTAGACGAGACAGTAAAACTCTCCAGGGTTCCTTTGCTTCACCTTGGCAGTAAAAATATGCAAAGAAGCCCGGTCTGTGGAATCCCTCCTGTTTTAGTGCAACCTGCTTGTTTTGCTTCTGAAGTGACACCTGGTGTTGCTATTGGGAACTTTTATGTTCGCAGCTGTGTTGGGTGAAGAAAAAGGTACCTGTCACCAAACAAGTTTCTGAAGATGGAAAGGATGATCTAGAAATAAAAGAAATCCTGAGGGGATGATTTATTTATTTTTTTTTTGCTTGTGGTTATCAAAATAACTTTATTTAGAAGTATAGTGGATCATTGCACAGTACATATCGAATAAACCATTTGTGTGAATAAACTTTGGCAAGCATTCATTTACTCAGAAACAGTACTTAAATAGGAAATACGGCTGCCAGAAATCCCTGGTGGATCTACAGTTCCCATATATCCACATTTGCCCCAGCAGCAGGCTCAGCTACTGGCAGGAGATCTTATTTAGTAGTGAATACACACACTCCTTTTGCAGTAAAAGAGCTATAAAAGGTTTCATGCCTTGAAAGCTCCCATTATTCATTCCCCAAAAGGGGATAGCACAGAAAAATTTGCACTGAAATGGGGACATTTCTGATCAAAGTATTGTAGGATCCCCATTCACCTTGCTGCTTTCTGCAAAACAAATTTTTAAATGCTTTTTGAGGTTTGGTTTGGTTTCGGTGTTGTTTGTTTTGTGTTTGAGCCTACAGGTTACTTCTTTGCACCTCCTCATTCTCAACACGACCAGCGAGGAGGAAGGAAGCTGTAGCAGAGATAAAAGTTGATTGATTTAGCTTAATATGTATGTTCCTAAACCTCTACACCACTTCCATGACACTTCTTGGAAAAGACCCCAGCAAAGGGGGTCTATTCTGCAATTCGTCCGAAAAGCGGGCGGGGGAGGCGTTTCGGGCTAATGATCATAACCCGAGACATCACCTCCTTTTGCCTTTTTTTTTCCCTCGGAAAGTTGTTGGTGGGAAGTCCCCAGCTCCTTCAAAAGCTGCTCTTCACGCTTTTCACTCGCAGGAGGGACCTCTGGGTTCCACCCACCACCGGGTGACAGCCCCGGTACCCTTTGAGAAGCCTGGTACTGCTTCAACCTGCCCACTCTGAGCTGCTCCCCGGCCCCCCAACCCCCGCCTCGGTTCCGGGAAGGGTTTCTTTCGGGAAGCGGCGACAGCGCGGGGTTCCCGCATCCCGGCGCAGGAGGGAGCGCCCCGGCCAGGTAGGGCAAAGGTCGGCTGGGGGAAGGAGGAGAGGGAGTGGGGAAAAGGAGGAGACCGGGTACCGGCAGCTCCTTCTTCCCTCCCTGGGAAGAGCCGAGCGCCTGCCTCTGGTCAGGGCGTCTCTGCGGGGCGGTGCGGGTGAAGGGGGGTCCCTCGATGTGCCCCATCCCATCGGCCCCACTCGGGGGGCAGGCCCTGCCCCGGACCCTGTGCGGCACAGGGGGCTGCGGGTCCGGCTACGGGAAACCCTGCCTGTCCTCCCAACTCTGCCATTTCCCAACATTTCCTGCCCTTAGCCTTCCTGTCCCCCAGCCTTACCTGTCTCCGCAATCCTGCCTATCTCCAATCCTGCTTCTCCCCAACCCTACTTGTGCCCCCAACGCTGTCTGTTCCTGTTCCCCCACTTATCCTATCCCCAACCCTATGTGTCCTCCCAAACCTGTCTGTTCCACCACTCCTGCTTTTTCCTAACCCTGTTGCCCTGCTTGTCCCCAACTACGTTTGTCTCCTCAACCCTGTCAGTCCCCACAACCCTACATGATCCGAAAACTTCCTGTTCCTAAACCTTTCCTCCCCTGAACCCTGCCTGTCCCTCCAACCCTGCCTGTCCCACCAGCTCTGCTCTTTCCCAACCGTGTCTGTCCAGCCAGCCTTGCCTGTCCCCAACCCTGCCTGTCCCCATCCCTTCTTGTCTCCATCCTTGCCTTCCCTGTTTTGCTTCCCCTGCCCACCACACTTCTCTGTGTTACCCTAAGCAGCCTGACCTGCCCACCTCTTTCCAGTCCTACTTTTTTTTTGTTGTTGTTACAGAGATGTAACAAATAATTTAGCTCTGAAAGGGCTTATTTAAACACAGAGCCCCTCACCAGCACTGCAAAGTTGCCCTGTCTGGGCTGCCCCAGGCCCTTTCCCTCACACCTTGGAGGCTCTGGAGCGGGGCCGGCTCCTTAAGTGTTATTGTAGATGGTACAAGGAAACATCTGTGTATCAGTCCTCAAATGCCTCCTTCAGAAAAACTAATATTCATAATTTGCTGTTACCTTTACATTAATGGTAGTGAAAATTAATTTCTCATATCTGCTTTTTCCATTTTCCTCCTTGCAGTCAACAGCAGTTCACAAAGTGAGAAATTCCACTCTTCTTTCTCAAACTGAACTGTATATATTGCCTACCTTATTGAGAGAGATTACTCTCTGTAGTCTGGAAGGCAACCTCTGCATCTGCTTTCTACCTGGGAAGAATTGCATAGTGAGTAAACAACTTCACTTGTGTTGTTTGAAATGAAGACAAATATTTTGAACCAAGAAAGATCAACCCTGGCAGAACTGTGATTAGACCTGCTATGGTTAGAGCAACTTTGCTAGATCCTTTTGTTTCCTTCATGAATCCTATGTGAATTATGGCACTGTATGGTAATATTTGAAAAGACTTCCACAAGAGCCATCCCTGAAGAGGTAAGATAAGTGCTTGTCCTCCCTTGACCCCCAAATGTTTGCTAAAACATTCTGACATTCAGAATCCATAATCTCTTAGTTATTAAAAAAAAAGGAAGGCACAACACTTTGGGACCAAATTCAGGTTTCCAAAAGCGTTAATTAAAATGAGTTACTTGACCAAAATCGAGTGTCACTTTGATGTATCAGCCCCCTTTCATCCCAAAATCTTCTGGTGATTCTAGGAAATAAGGAATGATTATAACCATGCTTAAATGTGCACAATTGCCTGGTTCATAAGGTATCAATAATGCACTTAAATAATGTAAACCTTCAGTTTATTTAATGATTTTGTTGGCTTCATAGCAGCACAATGATTTTTAAGAAAAATTTTTTATTATTAAAATTTTGTCCATGACTTTGTATGAAATTTCAAAAAACTTGCTTAAAGCTATCATCACTTTGGGCCACAACTGAGTTTTTTTTATACATTTTGCTTTGCCTTTGCAAATTTACAAATCCCTTTGCATTTTTCCCACTGAGTATTTTTGTGCTCCTTTATTAGTCAGAGAAACTTTGCCTTTAAAATATCTCCCTGGTTCTTTCTGAAAATTAAAAATTTATTCTGTTCTTTGAAGGATCTCTTTGTCTTTGCTGAGTTTGATCAAAGTATTTACCTTCTCTGCCCCCCCCACTGTTTCTTTGAAGAGTATGCAAATCATATGTCTCAAATGTAAATGCTGGTCACATTCAACAGCAATGTGAGAGTAAGATTAAGGACCTGTGTTTTGCTTGCTAATAGTAGCCACTAATCTCAAACCTGGTTATTACTAAGTAGCCTGCATTATACTTGTGTTCTTTAATCCCTGCTCTGCTCTGCATTCATGAAAACTTCCACTGTGTGCTGATGTGATGTGCCAACAATGAAGGGGATTTAGAATTTAAAAATCTTGTGATAAATGATTTTATCTTTATGTAGTGGATCGTAGTTTTGTAGACCATAGCAGCTGTATTTCTTATGAATGCAATAGGCTGAAAAATGAAAAGTAAATTAAAGAAATGAAAATAAAAGAGAGAAACCCTTATTTCCTTGCAAAGTAGCAATTTGAATCTCCATGTCTGGAAGGGAACCAAAACCAAGACTGGCGAGTTTACTGTATGACCCTTTAAAGTTGCTTTTTGCAGAACATCCAGCTTCTTTCATCTGCTTTCAAAATCTGAATCTGCCTACCAGTTGATCTGAAAAAGGGGATGTGAAACAATTCTTTCATCTCTTTGCAGTGATTCATGGGATGATGGCCTACTTGTAATGAACTGGGAAGAATGGTAAGAGAGGGGGGAGCAGCTACACATTTTGTTGTCATTCTGGAACACTGCTGGAAATGCAGTAGCCTCCTGCTTCCAGGCACTTCACATCACATGAAGTTTCTGACTGCAAATCTCAGGGGAGTGTCTTACAGCAGTAAGTATGTGCTTTCTCACATTGCAAGAGGTTTAGGTAATAAACCAAAATAAATAGAATGCTGATTAGATTTATTTTGGCAGCTCTCTGTGAAATGCATCTTGTGTGTGTGTCTCATTTGTCCATGTGTCTTTGCGTCAGTGAATAAACAGCGTTGTCTGCAGAGATTAAACTGAATTTATTAGGCTCCTAATCTGATTGTTTTGTAAGCAAAACTGAGGCAAGGTTTTAAGACTGGTTCTGGCTTTGGTTGTCAGTCAACTGGCTGTTCTGAGGAATCTCAGAGGAGATGCTCCTTTCTGGTGTTTATTTAGTGATGTTTTCCATTTGCCTTTGAAAGCACAAAGCTTATGAAACAATTGAATATAAGCTGCTTTATCTTCTCCCCCTCAGTGTATACATTAGAACTGTCAGCTGGTGCTTATTGGTCCCACAGGGAAAATGTATGTCAAAATTGTAGATGTAATTGTGTTCCAACAGGCTCAAAATTAGCCATGAAGATGTCCAGTCTCTCAACATTGTGCTGTTTTCATTGAAGACAAGGGAAGTTTCTACGAGCTGTTTCAACAAGGTCCAGTCTTATGAATTTAAAGTTTTTGTGGAGAAAAAAAGCACGGACTTATCCTGTGGTAGGTGTTTGCTGGCTTGGGATCTAAGTTTGAATCCTTCTATAAGATTGTCAGTTTAATCAGAAATGTGAGAGACATCTAGTGAACAAGAAAACGCAGGAAGGACTTTCTGCATTTGAAATAAACTTGTCAAGAAAAATCTAGGTACAATACCTGGTGTATGAAAATAGTTGTTGTGATAGAAATGTGTAACTTTCCACTTGGAAAGCCATCTTGAGCACCAGGCAATAGTTATACTGCTTACACATTCAAAAGAATAAATTTCACTGCACTGGTGATGAATTGTGAATCTGTATTTCTTAGGCTGTCAGAACAAGCAAGAACTCAGTTCCATTTTTCCGGAGAAGAAGTGAGAAATAACTCAAGAAAATGACTCTGAGTATTTATTTTTTAATGTTTATCATTGAATCTGCCACTCGTAAGTATAAATTTTCATTTCAATGGTAGAACCTTCAAAACATTTGCTGAATATGTAGCATCTTCTTGACAGTTGCTCAGAGTGGGGCAAGATTTGTATTTTGCAGCTAAGAACAAAATCTGAAAGGTTTTGGCAGCTTCAGCCCAGCTCCAGACTTGGGAAATTTGATCCAAAATACCAAAATTAGGAAATAAAAAAAGAAGACACTTGATGGTGTTGTATAGGAGCATGGCTGTATGAAGAGCCACAGCAAGGAAGAAAATGAGTCTGCTTCTTCTTCTGCCATTCAGAAGTGTGGTCACAATAGTTGCTGAACAACAATGATCTCTGAGAACCTCAGGAGAAATAGGCTTACTTTATTCTTGACTACTAATGTTAAGACCATGGTCACCTTACTGTATATTTTATGACTTCTGTATGCAAAGGCACATTTGGGAAATTCAAATGGAAATGCCAACTTTAAGACTTAAATTTTACACACATAGTATTATGCAAGGTAATTGATCCAATATTATTTTCTTTTTTTAGTAATCTAGCCACATAATGGTTTATTTTTAATTCAGCAGATAAGAAAATGGGAATGTTACTTCATTGGGTCTCTACTTTTATGACAGTTGACCAGTTCTAAGGAGTAGCCATATTTGTCACATCAAACTATATGGGAAGAATTTCACCTTTCCGCTTCCATTTGTGGCAGCTACTTTACTGTGAGGCCAGATTGTGCTGTTTGTGCATATTTGATTCTAATGCTATTTGAGCCATGTGAAAGAATTATTCAGAAATGTCCTTCCCCCCCCCCCCCCCCCCCCCCTTTTTCTTTCTGGTTTTGCATGGGTGAGGTAGAATAAAGACTTTGAAAACTGAGTTCTTGGACGGAAATAAATATTGCTGCAACAAATAAATACTGCCAAACCACTCTGCTGAAAGAAAGTAACTTTATAAAAGACCAGTGGAGCAGCAAATGACTTCGAAGTCAAACTAACGTCTTTTTCTGAAACCAGTACTTGGCTTCCTAATGTATCTTTTTTTCCTTTTTCTCTGAAGAGAAGCTGTGTCCCCTTCGTTCCTCCATTGATGTGCTGGAAGGGGAATATTTTTTCCTTTGTTATCTTCAGTCAATGCAAGAACATCTTCAGGAAGAAGCATACACAATAAACTGGTATAAAGAAAATGCTGGAAAGCAGCAACTGATAAAGGAGACAGACAGGATTTTTTCCCAAATGAATTTTCTGGAGTTTTGGCCAGCTGAACTCAGTGACTCTGGGAGCTACTCTGTCACTCACAGGTGGGTGCAGAAGCTACTGGGTGAACATTTTGCCTTTGCACTTGTCTATAAAGAAGCTAATTGCTTTGTCTTGCTCTGAATTGCTAGTGGCATGTGTACAAAGGAGGTGCAGGAAACTACATTGACTGTGGTGTCATTTTCCACATAATTTTGCAATAACCACCCAGGCAGACCTATAATATTTACAAACAGCCATAGGCATATGCAACCTTTTAAAGGTTCTGTAAAACTTTTGGTAAGGCAGATAGCGTTTTCTGCTGGTTTCTAATTAATTACCTAAGCAAAATGAGTGATAGGCAACCTATCTGTGCACTGCCTAGTAAAGGAAACATTTGCTTGTCTTCTCCACCAGGCTTGTTCTTCCTTACTGTGCTGAGTGGCTCTCACACCACAAGGCTTGCCAAGTGGTCTAATTGTAAAGTAATAAACATAGAGTGACATAGCCAAACTCTGGTTTCTTTGCAAACCTTTGTAGGCTTGGAGCCATTTAGAGAACAAATGAAATAATTTAATTTGATTTCTTACCTCTGTAAAACATCGTATGTCAAAAGGACAAATAAGGAAGAGCTATCAAATATTATTATTAATTGATCAGTCATCTAGACAGTCCTTTCACTAAATATAGTGCTAGAAAGCTATTAAATCTAAAGACTTACTCCACTGCCAGCACCTTACTAGGGGTATAAAATCCATGCTCTGACTTATTTTGGTACGGGGAGGGATAGGTCGGGCTCACACCTGAGTCACTGGGCTACTAAAGGAACTTGTCATAAGGTGTCTAAAATAAAAGACAAAAGAGAGGAAAGCTGTGATAACCCCTGCTTCAATTCACGATCCTTGGGGTTTTCTGATTATTTTAAAGGACTTAAGTAATGCCAGCAAATCCACAGTAAATTACAAGAGCTCTGTAAAAATGAGTATGAAAAAAAAAGCAAACTTCCAAACTGAGGCAAAGCACCTTAAATATAGAAGAAGAAAAAGAAAAGATGTTCAGTAAAACTATTAAGATTAAATTTCTAAAAAAAAAAAAGTGGTTGTTGGAAAACACAAAAATGTCTGAATCCTTTGTGAAATGTCTTGATTTGTGGATTTGCTTATGGAAGAAACCCAGAAGAAATATTTTTATTATTTCAAAATATTCATTTGGAATTGAGGTTTGTTTTTGTGCTTTTTTGTTTAATTTTCTAAGATCATCTTATGCTACTACATTTTAAAACTCAATTTTGAAAGAAAGCATTTCTATTTTAGGGAAAATAAAAAGTTTCTTAATTAAAATAATATGTTTTGACCATTCTGAAACAACTCCCTACCCCCAGTTTCTTTCTGTGAGCCTCATACGGATATGAGTTTTTCTGTTGGGATCAGTATGAAGCTCATGCCAGAATCTTTCAGTCCTCACACAAAAAACTCTTGATAGGTTTCACCACTGGAACAGGAGTCATAAAGAAATTTTTTTAATGGTATTTTAGTGGTATCTTGAGCCTAGTTTTTATGATGGTTCTCACTTTCAGCAAACATATTAAAGCAGTTATATTTCAGCAAATACAGAAGATTATTTGCAGACATAGTTTCTGCAGCCACAGATGACTTCCAGTATTCTCTTTTAATAGGGAAAAATTGTGGGCTATTGTGGACTAATGAGTTGATTTAGAGTTCATAAGAATGACAATTTGAATGGAATTAGCTTAATTGCAGAGCATTTATAATAGGTTAACATTTTTATTAAATTAGACAATCTAAATATATTTTTATTTATCTTTTAATTTTAACTATTTCATTTTGAGGTAAGTATTTGTAAGCTATATGGGAACCTATTTTAAAGTGCTTATAGCTGTTTAGGCAGTTTTTGGGAGCAAAGTGACAATTAAATACATTGCAGATTTTCTAGAAGAAACTAAGGCAAAACATGTTGAAAGTTTTTGCAAACTAATTAAATATAGGGATTTTTCCCTGGCATGTTAAAACTGACAATATGCAAGAAGACAGATGAAAGACATTGTAGAGGATGATGCTGGTCTCTTCTCACAGGTAATTAGAGATAGAACAAGAGGGAAGGGCTTCAAGTTGCAACAGGGGAGGTTTAGACTGGACACTAGAAAAAAAAAAATCACAGGAAGAGTGGTTAGACACTGGAATAGGCTGCCCAGGGAGGTGGCTGAGTCACCACCATCCCTGGATATGTTTAAGGGTCGTTTGGATGTGGTGTTGGTGGAGACGGTTTAGGGGAGAACTTTGTAGAGTAGGGATGATGGTTGGACTCGGTGATCCCAGGGGTCTTTTCCAACCTGAATGGTTCTATGAGTCTATGAAAATGATTTAACAATGCATTTATGGTGTTTTATCCACTTGTTTTTGATTTAAAGAAGAATCTGTTTTCCAGTTCAAATGGAAGTGTCCTGCTGAGGTGGCATAGACAGCTAAGGTGCACATATGTGTGTGTTGATGTGTTCATGTATGTTTGTCAGTATGGTCGACTAGGATATAAATTCAGCAATTCATAGACATCACCTGTATGCCTGAATGCGTCCATTTTCAGTGACATTTATTGAAAAGAAAAGATTTAATATGCACTTGTAAGTGGCAGTTGTAAGCAGAAAAACTGTGCCATGCATCCTTGGCAGGATTGCTAAATTGTATAGGTTTTTTTTCATAGCCTATGTCTTGTGGTTATCAAAGGGAAAAACAGGATACAAAAAAAGCAGGTCATCTGGTTGCTCTGTGTTGCTAACCTTGAAACTAAGGGAATTTACAAGTTCCTGAAAAAAATGAAAATAGAGATCATTGATAAAAGCATGATATATTTTAAGATCCTAATGCTGCTCACTTGGTCCATGTGTTTAGAACAGCGAAAGCAGTAGGAACACACACATTTAGTATTAATATTGTAGCAAGAGGGTCAGTTCCTTGCAATAGACTGAAATTTTAAAATTACACTTGTTGCAGTGAAATAACTGAGGATGATGTAGAGTTGAAAATGTATCCAGTAAACTCGGTTTGTATTCTCTAAGAGCTTTCACTTCCCTTTATCCTCTCCCGAGTTGTTTTGTTGGACCATTTTAGTGGGTTTGGTGGAGGGAGTTGAAAAGCTGTCAAGCCGGAAATGGTTTTGTTTCCCACAGATTATCACTGAAGAATCTTAGCAAGTGAAAGCCATGATAGAGATACAACAGCTCAGACACTAGCAGCTTAAACAATGCACCTTTTTTTTCTGTGTATGTGCATGTTTTGTGTGTGTGTGTCTTTTTTTCCTTTCTTCTCTTTTCTTTTTTTTTTTTCTTTTCTTTTTGTTTTGGCTCATCAGACCTTGATCCACTTAAGGTGAAATCCTCAAATCCTCATATAAGTTGAAGTCCTCATATTTGTTGAAGTGATTTCACCAAATATGATCGCAGAAGAAAGCCTCTGTGGAGTGACAGTGCTGAGGAGAACGTGTGACTTTACCAATCCTTTTCACAGAATCACAATTTTTTTTTGAGTTGGAAAGGATCTTAGAGATCGAGTTCCAACTCCTGTGCACGGACAGAGACATCTTCCACTAGAACAGGCTGCTCAAAGCCCCATCCAACCTGCCCTTGAACACTACCAGTGATGGAGCCCCCACAACATCCCTGGGCAGCCTATTCCAGTGTCTCACCGCCCTTACACTGAAGAATTTATGCCTGATCTCTGACCTAAATCTCTCTTCTTTCAGCTTGAAACCATTATCCCTTGTCCTCTCACTGCAAGTCCCTGTAAAAAGACCCCCCACCAGCTATCCTGTAGGCCCCCTTCAGGTACCGGAAGGCCATTTGCTGAATCTAGATAGTGAAATTGTCAGAGGTTTTGGATAGATAACTTTTCCAACAGTATCCAGTTACTAGTGTGATGCCAAAAGGAACACACAGACTCAGTGGAATTAATTGAAACTTAAGTTTATGTCTACACCTAAGATACTTTTTAGGTACCTTTATTGTCAGGGAGAAAAAGGCCTTTTTAGGCCTTTCTGGGCCACAGACTATTTTGTCCTAAACCAAGTGTATAAAATAGGTCACATAAACTGCACTCTAAGAGAGTGAATATTGGCTGTGGTCCCACTGTGACTGTGATTAAAAGCTCTGATTTAAATGGGTAGATATGATGTTGAAGAATAGGTGAGAAGGACTCCACCCACAGAGTGGGTCCATCTCTGATGGAAAAGTTTTGATAAGGTTTTTCCTGTTTATGACACCATAGTTAGCTGATTGAGAAACCAAACCGCTATGTTTTGATAAAGATTGTCAGTTGCAATTACGAGTAGTGAATAACTCAAGTGGGTAAGGAGAACAAGGAGAACCTGTGTAGGCTGAGAAAGGGGTACAGCATGAAGGGGATGAGAAAAAAATTAGAAATACATTGGATTGAAGAGCTTAAAAAGGTAAAAAAAACCCAAACCAACCAAAAAACCCCCCCTTGGTCTTAATTAATCATATAAATGGTGTCCTAATAGTTGTTCTGAATCTTGTAACAGTAAAAGACATGTCAGTCGAGAATGGTGTTTGAGCTGATATACTTGTCAGGTCTGCTTCTTCATTTTGACTTCTGTGTCTCCTTAGCCCTTCTCATAAAAACGATTCTTGGACAGTTTCAGTTCTCCCAGGAACAGTTCCTTTTTCTCTTCTTGGAGACAGAAAGGTTCAAACCTATTTATGAAGATATGGCTGACACTGAAGGGTAGTGTTCTGTGATTGCTTTTTCTTTTGCTTTGCAAGACCCTACTTATTCAGTAAAAAATAGGAGATTTAAGTACTAATTGTGAAAACTCACCTGCTGTCTTTCAGCAGCATATGACTATCTCTTAAGCCCTAGCTTTGTCAAAATTAGCCCAACTTTGCCAAACTTAAACCAACTTAAAACCGTCAACTTAAGACCACCAACTTAATATGTCCCACTTCTTTTTGCTTGATAGTCATGGATTTGGACATATCCAGCAATGAAAAAACTCACAGCAATATTCTGATTATTTAGAGGAATATGGGTCTAGAAAATAGTAGATATCTGAATGATGATGGTCATCTGGATATTCAAAAGTGGCATTTTTGGAGCATATTCAGTTGTGCTTCTATAGGCAATTTATGGGATATGATGACTCTGCTTTTAAGCTGGTAGCTCCTCGCTCTTGCAAAATACCTTGTTTTGTGGACATGCTTGAATCCATAAGTGAATTCCGTAATGCATGAGACTTGTGTAATTTAGAAATATTTCCAAAATACCTGTGCAGTCTCAAACAATGAATAATGTTGCTTTGTGAACAATAGCAGAGTTGCCCATCTTATTTTTTTTGCATACTTTGCAATTAGGTTTTTCAGTTCCTGTTTTAAAACTTAGCAATGCATGGGGGATTAAACTTGCAAAATCACTAGCTGATTTGGGATCCTGAACTCTTTTAGGCTCACTTGTAACTACACATGATACCACAGATTGTTGCATTCTTATTCTGGTTGATATAGCGAGTATTGTCACAATTAATAAGCAAAATGGTATTGTCAAATTTTATGATAAATGGCTTAGTTTAGATAATATTTTTTATTATGGGAAATAACCTAGATTTGGGGGTGGAAAAGTACTGAAGTGGAATATAAATAATTGGGTCACTGTACAAGTACTTAACAGATGTATTAGAGAATTTGTTTGCATTTTGTTTTGTAACTCGTTTTTTTTTTTTTCTCCATAGCAATGGAATACAAAATGTCACAATTCAAAAGTGGACCTTGAATGTACTTGAAAGAAATACAAGCAGCTGTTTCAATGAAAATCATTTAACTACAGAAATAAAAAATGCTGGAACAGGTCATTCACTGAAATGCAGTGCTTTGTCTGTCAATGAAAATGACAGCATAACATGGTACAAGGTAATTCCTGAAACAGTGTCACTCAAACCAAATGGATAGGGCCATGGGTGGATAAGTTTTCCTCATTACAGGATCATATCCCAGACTGTCCTCTGTTGTGGCTGAGTATACTGGTGACTAGTATTTCAATACATAATATGGTATGAGAGATAAAGCAGCCATCCTTGGGCCTAAATATCCTTGGCATTTAATTGGGTGAGAATTTTTTAAGCCCTCCTGTCATGCCCCAAGCTGAGATAGATAAAACAGGGATCATCACACATGCCTTTTGTATAAAAACCAGGTAGTAAGCATCTGTATCCAGGAAATATCCATTCCCTGCAGAGTTTCCAACAGTGATAGTTTCCCTTCTTGATCTGAGGTAATTCAGAACAGAACCAAATATCAATGTGTTTTCACAAGACTTTTCACTTAGCTTGTATGATGACTTAAAAACAACCAAAAACAAGCCAGAGTTTGTTTTTTGGGATAGGGAAGGTAAATGAACGAGAGCCCAACCTTGTGTCCGTCCGAGATCATCACTTTCTCTACTGTTGAGGCATTTTGCTTTAACCTGAAAGCTCCTCCAAAGTCTTGACAACTTTTGACCAGAAGCAGGTGACACCTACAGACCCAAGCCAGCATTTTGAAATAAATAGATGAGTGCATTTACATTTCTAATACAGCGTTTTTATATTCAGACAATTAGTTGGAATTACAGTGCTCTCAACTTTGAATGAGTTAAATGTTCCAATGTTACATTGAAGAGACCAAGACCGAAAACTGCGCCCTCACCTATTTGGAGTCAGATAAATGTCATTGAGATAGTGCAAGAGTGATGGTGACACTTCATTTCAAAAACTGTTTTTGACTTCTTTAAGGTTTTAAATGTGTGCTTGCTGCAAAATAGTATTTTCTGTCTTTATTGATGCAGGATTGTAAGAGTTATGAAAATGAAACAGAGCGGGAACTAGATTTTAAAACCTTAACAGTACAGCACTCTGGGATATATACCTGTAAAATTCTAATCAGTCATGAAGGAAAGACATACCACAGCACAAATACAATTAAACTGGTAGTAGAAGAAGGTAAGAAAGCTTTCTAAAATTCTGAAGCATACTTTTTAGGTTCTCTTTACTGTGGAGATTTTTAATTACAATTCTCAGTTAATAAATATATGTAAGGGATAAATCTGCTATTCTGAAGTATTCACAAAAATTTAAAAAATAAAAAAAAAAGCAGCAGAAGTATATGTGATGTATAACCAATTTAGTGAAGTTTAAGTAGCATGTTGTCTTTGCAGTTCTATTTTTTTCAAAATTAGCTGCTGTGTAATACACGCTTACTAAGAGTTTCAGGGAAGAAGCTTTCCAGCCACTGTAGATCATGCACTGTATAAATATGCCTGTGAAAAAAATTCAACAGGAGATACTCTGTTTTAAACTACTGAACAATGCCAGAGTCCAGATACTGTTTTTTAAATTAAATAGAATGCATGTGATTAGTTTTGGAGATAAAACAAATGTGTAATTTTTACTGTGGATGTAAGTAAGCTATTCCTTCAATAGCAATACTTCTTTCTATTTTAGATGCACCAGAGGCTGTAACTTTGGAGATAGTTGGGCGTGATGAAGAAATTGAAACAGAAATAGGTATCAAACCACTACAAGAATCTTTGTGGTAGCTACTGCATATATGTGGTTTTGTTCTGGTCTCTTTATGGTTGATGTACTGGCTAAGTGTAATCAAACTAAGAATTGTCTGTGCACCCTCCTGGGTCTGATGCATTCTCACATCTGGTTATATTTTGCTTAGTGTATTCCATGACTGATATGCGAGTACACAGACTGTACCCTTTTACAGAGGCTGAAGTTGATGCTGCTGCTATGACCAGAAAATGGTGGTGATGATAAACCATCTCCATGGCTTTCTTTTGTAGATAGCAAACTGCACAGAACAATGTGTGAACAACATACAGTTTGTTCAGAAAAGAGTGGTAATGAGCAATCCTCTTAATACCTGTTGCAGTTGATGATGTCATTCTACAGGGAAGTGAGAAGTGTGAGGTCTGACAGTCCTGGCAGTGCAAGCCTGCAGATCTGTTGTCCAACTCTCTTTAGTTTTCTAAAGCCTGAGATTCACTGACTTATGTAAACTCTTCTGTCTGTGATAGTTCATCTGAGACAAAGCAGTGGATGACTGTCACTCTGCAACGGGGTGCAACAGAGCACTGTGCACATCTGCTGAAGCCATCACCAGTGCAGGTGGAACACATGTAGTATTGTGCAGGGTCTACAATGTCCAGAAAAAGGAGCACATGGAATACGTTGTTTGGAAAGCTGACATTTTACTGCACTATGAGCACGAATGCTACTTCTAACTAGATCTTGTCATGTTATGCTTTGTTTAGGTAAAGACAAGATACTCAATTGCACAGGTTTCTTGGGTTATTATATGAGAGAAGATGCTAGCCTCTACTGGATAATTAATCAAACGTTTCCAGAAAAATGTACAGGTATCCCTGAGAATGAACCTTCAATATGTGAAGAAGAGTTAAAAAAAATACAGTAGGTTTCCTGAAAATACTGTACTTTTTTTTTGCGTGTGATAATGTTCTGCACTTTGTGGAACTGCAAATCCAGTAAAACCTCAGTCTGAGGTTGTTTTAGAACCTTTTCCTCAGCTGGTTGTATGTTTCTGTACAGGTAGTGTTGCTAAGACCATTCCTTGTTGCAGGTTGGAAAACAAGTTCTATGTCACAAGGCTACTAAGGATTAAAAAAGTAACAGATAATGACATACATCAGAATTTCACCTGCATGTTGCAAGCTGATGAAAGAACACAAATAAAAATAGTGAAGCTGAAGAAAGGTATGGTATATTCTATGAATCATACTCCTTGTATGTAATAATAAATCATACCAGCCTTCCCAATCCTGAGGGTGGCATACTGATCTCAGAGCATCTCTCCAAATATGCCTGTGTGCTTATGGAGGCCCTGGTCTATCTGCTGCTGGATGTAACAAGCCCCTCAGTGATTCATCTTGCTCTGAGACAGAGTTTGCTGCCGTGTTTCTAGAGAAGTTGTGTGAAGGCTCCAGAGTTCAACCACTGCTGCCATGGACACATCTGGGGAAGGCTGAGCTATGCTCTGACTGACAGAACTGTGGGTGGCACTTTGTTAGATCCCATGACAGAGCTTGCCCTGTGTTCTTCTACTCATCAGATTTCTGGGATCTTGGGGGTTAACTACCCAAAGTTTGGTGCAGCCCAGAGTCTGCTCTTTGGATCACTTTGTTCATTAGGCAGCTCTTTCTAAAATTAAAATATGAGATTTTGGTTGTTTTTGTTGTGTTTTGTTGTGTTTTGGTTTATTTTGCAGTTCTTTTTTTTTTTTTTTCTTTTTTTTTTTTTTTCTTTTTTTTTTTTTTTCTTTTTTTTTTTTTTTCTTTTTTTTTTTTTTTCTTTTTTTTTTTTTTCCCCTGGAAAGGTCAATATTTTATATTCTTGATAATGCCTGGAGTGTTCTGGTTGATGCTTTTTCTCTTATCAGGGACTCTATCCTGCTAGCCATGGATCCCTACCATATAGTAGTACTTCATTTTTGTAGTCCTGACAGCCTGGAGATTCATGACAAATGGATATTCCCTTCTAATTTTCCATCCCTCTCTGACCTTTCCAAGCGTAACTGGGAGGAAATCTGTGAAAATAGACTAGTCAAAAGAGGATGTCCATAATAAAGCAAATAAAATACAGACTACAGTTAGCATGGCTTGACAGTGCCTTCATAAAGACTTCACAAAGGTTTAAGAGTAAAAAATCTGTATTTGGAACTAAAAAGAAAAAATAATAATTAAGAGAGAAACTAAAAAAAGGAAGCTTGAGAGGGAGTAGAGACAGAAGGAAAAAATGTATCGCGGCCAAGAGATTAAAGGGGACATTAAGGACTGTTAATGGATGGACTGAGAGAAGGCTGAAAGGTACAGAATAACAGGAAATAATAAAGAACCAAAAGAAAACTGATCCTAAAAGTGGATGACTATCAGCTGGGGATGCTGTACATCTATGAGGACCCGTAGTGTCAGCTTTGAACCCGCATACAGTTTATTTATGTGAATGGAGGGTGTACAAATGTGTGCAAGATTGTGTCTCCAACTTTTAGAGTAATCCATGTTCTGTAGCTCTTCTTCATCTCAGGACAAATGGCATGCATATATGCTTGAAGCAGGAAAGGATTCACATCAGTACTGTAATTTTTTGGGGTGATTTTAAGATGCCATCATTACTGAATAATCTTGTCACATAATACTTTCTGTTAAGGCTATAATTTCTGTTTTACAGGGAACACCCAAGATTTGCCTGTGCACATATTTACTACTGGAATGGTCCTGGCTGTACTATTTCCATGTGTTGCTGTGGCTGCAGTGTTTGTCTGTGTGATGTTTAGAGTTGACTTAGTTCTATTTTACAGGAACATATGCAGAAAAGATGATACTGCTGAAGGTATGACCTGACTATTGCTGATGCTGAAATAAGAGTAATGTTTAAAAAATAGTTTCTGGTAGGTTCTGTAAAACAATCATCTTTGAGGAAGATGCAAAATAAAAACCAGGCATTCTGTGAGTAGAATCAGCAAAGAACATGTAAAAAAGAACTTGATGGTCAGGTTCTAAGAAGAATTTGTTATACACTTGGGGCAGTAACAACACAGTGGCCATGGCTAGGTGGTGTTCAGATGCACTCTGCTCTGCCATATTATTAATCACAAAAGTTGATGAAGGTGGAGAAGTTTACAATTATCTATCTGCAAATAGGATGAGCACTACGGAGTTGTCAGGCAAATTGACAGAAATTTATTTTCACTTCACTTATATCGTTCAGTGAGGTGAAGGTTAAAATACTTCCTTGATTTTGGAGACCATTGCAATATTTATAAGTTTGTCACTAAATCCACTAGAAGACAGCAGGACAGCACACTACTGGTATCTTAGTGGGCATTACTGTGACCTTTATTTAAGGAGCAAGGCTGACAGTTACCCAGTTCTGGGTATAATTTTTCTGAAAATTGTGGTGAAAAAAAATTCTGTATATAAGTACCTTATTTTCTTAGCCTTCCTTAGGCTATAGATCAGCTTGAATTGAGCTTGAATAAATGTCAGTGGTTGGAGATTTCTCAGTGATGGGTGGATCTAAGTCATGCCTGCCAGCATCGTTTATCTACCTGTTGATGTTAGATGTCAGAGGTGCCCGTGCCCATAGCAGGGAGGTTTAAACCTGATGATCTTTAAGGTTCCTTCCAATCTTAACCATTCTATGATTCTATGATCACTGTGTACACTGGCTTACAGGCAAGATCTCCAAGAACCTGGACTAGGCCACCCTGAAGGATCTGTCTGATATAAGGCAATGGATTTCCTACTCCTAGAGCTCTTGAATGTGTTGGGTTTCATGGGCTTTAGTTTTTGCTCACTTTTATGATCTACATGTAGTAAAACATACAGAAAGGGAAGCAAAAAAAATACAGTTTAAGATGCAAAGCTCTGTATGCCACTGTATCAATCCAGACAGTTGTTCTGTAGCAAGGTTCAGTTCCATACTGTTCAGTGTTGTTGAATTGGCCTCCACATTTGTCTAAATTTTGTGTTTGTAAATTACTGCCCAAAGCATGACCAGACATAGTATAATCTCGTAATTACAATAATAATGTGGTTTATTTTCCTTTGCCACTACTCATTCTACAGGACTACTTTATAGCCTTAGACAAAGACTAAAATAAATGTAGAAATCTAGGTTATCACTTGAATAGCATTCTCAACAGCTTACAGACATATTTTTTACTTCCCTTAATTTTCTTGATTATCACAGCTGTGACTAACTGGTTACATTAATCTGATTTTATTTAAAAACAGCTCAGTGTAGAAAGGTTGTGTTATTTTCAAACACTTTCTGCATGCAATCAGAAACTTTTGTAGCAAATTTAGATTGATTTTTTTTTTTTTCTTTGAAGACTGTTTGGATACTACAGGAAAGAGCAGCAGTTTCTTGATGATTTGCTATAGAGACAGTAACTTTGAAAACCAGAATGGTGAATCAGATTGTATATTTCTAATGATTGCTAACAAGGTGACAATTGGTGATTTCTTTTCAGATGGAAAAGAATATGATGCATTTGTGTCTTACCTGAAAGACTGCATTTCTCCTAGTGAAGAAGAGAGAGAATTTGCCTTGAATATATTGCCCTCAATATTAGAAGAAAACTTCGGGTACAAGTTATGTATATTTGAGAGGGATGTGTCCCCTGGTGGCGGTAAGTGCATTGAATATTGTTGTCATTAAATAGGCACATCATTTTCACACAAAGCTAAAAGTCTGTCATTAGAAAGAATTCTATCAAATGTGCAGTGCAATGAAATGCTACATTTGTCGTTTGATCTAGACCTTATATTCAAAGTTCACATGCACACATTTTACATATTTTATAGCTATATTTAGGAATTCATATACACCCACACATGCACACACACACACGTATCTTTACATAGGACCAAGATGGAGAGATGAAAAAGCTAGCATAGAAAAAATAAAGGTGAGAACACAGATATTTCACAGTAATAATGCTCTTGCTCTGCTTTTGCTGTGATCAGGTGCCTAAGAATGAACTCATATTTACTGCACAGAGCAGTCTCTGGTACTAGTTATTCTCAGGTAAATTTTACATTTGCTGTACCTTCAGTGTGGTAGTTGAAACTGTTTTGTGAATGTAATGGGTGCCATAACAAAATAGAAATGAAAACACGGAATTTTGTTTCTCTAAATGATCTATGGATAGATGGCCTTTTGCAGATCCTTGGAAAAAAGATACTGGGGGTTACAGTTAGTCCAAAGATCTAGCTGACAAATGAGATTTCATTGTTAAAAGCACAGAACAATAAGGTCAATCAGCCTCCTTCACAAGGCAAGATCTTGTCTCTTTGTATTCATACTTAACATTTGTCTAATTTGGGAGATGCCACAGCTCTCCCAAGCCACTTTCTCCCAGTTGTTCTCTTTCCTTAAGTATGAAGAAAGGTCTTTATTAAGCGTCCAGTCTGATTCTTTTAATAGTTTTAGGTTGTTTCCTGTTCTCTGGTCTGCTCTAATGTGAATATGGAAAATTAAGTATTTCCTTCTAATTTACAGGAGCCTTTGGTGTATTGTAATATCGTTGTTAGCCTCCTTCTCTCAGTTTTCTCTTCTTTATGTTACTTCTGCAGTTTGGCTTTACTTTCCCCACAAGGCATGTTTTTTAGATCTCTGGTCTCTGTAGATCTTGTGCCATGGTGCTGAAGCAAGCACAGGGAGTTGTGCATGAGAATTCAATTTATTGCATGGCTGTTTGAAGCGTATCAGTTTGATTTCCTTCATTGCTTCTCATGACAAAAGTTATGGATCTTAAACAGCTGGAGCTCATTCTGGCATCACATGCTAGTCTTCTCAACCTTGGATTACTGGCAATAGATCTGGATATTCGGTGATATAAAGGAAGAAGTAGTCTGAGGGTTACTGAACATTTGGAGAGAGGTTGCTGTTGGTGACTTTTTGTGGAATTACTCCAATGTATCTATCATAAAAGAGCAAAAAGATGTCTGGTTGGAGGAAAAATTAATGCTGCGGTCACCTTCTATCTGTGTGACTACTAACATATGTCTAGGGTAGCTGGAGATTGTATGTTGGCTTTTGTGTGCTACAGAGAAAAACTTTGGCTGCACCTGAGCTCATTTTCACAGACTTTCAATCTGTAATGCAAACTAACATCCTCGTAGGGACAGGATACTTACCTACTGTCATTTTATAAGGGGAACATTTTTTGTACATTTGATTGTTAAAGGATAAGCTGATTCCATATCCTTTCAATGTAGTTTAATAACACATATATCTTTAATTTGCAGCGGTTGTTGATGATATCCATTCATTCATTGACAAAAGCCGAAGATTAATCATTATACTGAGCCAGAACTACATTTCTGACAGATCCATATATGAACTTGAGAGTGGACTGCATAAAGTCCTTGTTGAAAAAAAAACTAAGATCATATTAATTGAATATATGCCTATTAGTGACTACAATTTCTTGCCAGAATCACTATCTCTTTTGACACCAAAGAGGGTTGTAAAGTGGAAAAAGGATAAATCTCTCCCTGTGAATTCCAGATTTTGGAAGAACCTTCGGTACCTGATGCCAGCAAAGCCTAACAAGATAAACACCAAAGGGCACTATCATAATCTTGAGCCCTCAGAAGGGGCTCAATCATGGACTGAGGGCCATGACTTCAATGCTGTGATATAACAACTCTGGAGACAGAAGATGCTGCAGAAAACTGCGTTTTTTGCTAACTACTAGAAAACACAAACTGCACACTTCTTCGGGAAGACAGAGTTCATGAAAGGCCAAGTCTTAGATCTGAGCAGGATGGTTAACTTGTTACTGTAGCTAGGATGATGTTAAACCTAATGCTAAATCCCAGAGAGTGTTTCCTCAGCGATCTGCACAAGGAGCAGAAATTTGTTTCTGCTTAGGACTTACCACATGCCATGAAGCACAATGCAAAACCTTTTAATCTCACATTTCCCTGTAATGCAGAACAATATTAGTTATACTTGCATACTTTTTGATGCCTCTCCGTAAACATATCAGGATTTGCAAAGTATTATTAGTTAGATGTTCTTGGTTTTATATTTTGGTATTTCGTAAGGATCCTGCCTGCGAGTAGACCCAAATAGCTTCTGCCCTAGAGAGCTTGGCATGCAGGCTTTGGGCAATGGCAAGCAGAAAAATAAAGCAAAAATAGAGAAAAGGGAGGTTGCAGAGAGCAGAGCAGATTTGGACTAACTGTATTCATTACTGACTTGTACATGGTCTAGACAAGCTGAATGGGAGTGATTTGGAGGAATGCTGAAGACTGTTTCCATCCTCCTATTTCACTTGGAATATCACAAATTATCATTTTGGCAGAGAAATGGGGGGGATGAAATAGTAATAATAGTGTTTTGTTCATTGACACTGATACCTACTTTAACCCCTGACCTACCTTCAGCTGAGGGATGTAGGGGATATATGTGAAAATGTACATATATTCCTAACCTTTTGTAACATTTGTACCTAATATTATTTTTTTTAAAACAAACTTAGTAATGCCATTCAAAATCATGGTAATCTTCTTTTATTATTAGCTGCATGGCAGAAGATACCAATCTGACATAATTCCTGGATAAAATGGAACCATATTTCCTCCTAGTACCAATAGAGAGAAATCAATGTAGAATGATTCTGGAAGACCTTTTTGTCAGTTTGCTAGGGGACCATCAAGTCCATTCTCGTCATTGTCTTGCATTCAATTAATGCTAGTTCTGAGGAGACATATCTTTGACACTGTCACTTATTTCATGCTGCTGCAGTGGAAAAGCTCTGTTACCTTCTCATATCACTTGGTAACAAGTGAATTGGAACGTTAGAATGTTCCAAGTGAATTGGAAAAATTGGAATGCTTGATGACATGGTAATGTGTCAAGATTCATGAGCATGGAATACCTTGTTATTCATCAAATATCCTGTAATCAAGCATAGCTTCTGACAGAAGTTCAGATAAAAGTAAAGGGTAAATGTGGATTCACAAAAAGAAGATGACGCAGTTGCTAGGTTAACATGCACATGTAAAGGAACAATGGAACAAAGCACACATCTGTTATGTCCTTCAGATCAGCTCCAAGAGGTCTCCCTCTTTCTGTCAGGCAACTAAAGAACAATTGAAATGTGGTGCTTAGGTAAAATCAGTTCTCTGGTTGAAGCTTTTGCTGAAGAGGACTTCTGCTTTGTATATATGTGTTTCTTTACATTTCCAAATCTTTCTCAAGGTTCAGTTCTTCTGTTCTGATGCTTCCTATGACTTGTAATCACAGATCAGTTTTAACGTTATCCTGCAGAACTAATGATTGCCCCTACTTCAGAAATGTCATCAGACATACCAGGCACATCCATTTCTTGGTCAAACAGCTGATAGAAAACTTAGTAACTTTCCTGGTACTTAACTGAGGTGTTAAACTCGCTCCTCAGCCACATGTTTTTTCATATGCTGTCATCATGTGTTGCCTAACATAATAAACTGTCAAATGTATTATGTGACACCTGTGTACATGGTCTGTTAAAAGCCCTGGACTGAGCCTACTCTCTGTGAGAATCAGCTACTATAAATTGAGATTGAATTTGCCATGAATGCCCCCTCACCTCAGCTTGGAGAGATGCTGTGACTGCATATACCTGCTATATCTTATGAAACTGTACTCTGAAAGTTGAGAGACCACACAGAGTTTGACTGAACTGAGGTTTTGTATAGAGGCCTATACATAGGGAAGCCTGAAAGCTAAAGGGCATTAACTGCAAAGTTGTTTAAATGCCAGTCAAGCAGACATTCAAATGTAGTACAATGAACTACTCAATATCTGTAAAAGAATGCACAGAAGGATATAATGGCATCATCATTTAATCTCTATCGCTGATCATCACTGCCCATGCTGTGATAAAGGGAGACATGGGAAATGAAGGATATGCATCCTCATATTAACACCAGATATTGTTCTTATTGATATAATATTCTGAATTACTGGCTTTAATTGGGGCTTGATAATGCCTGCTGTCTGTTTACCAGTCCCTAGAGAAAAGGAGCTGCTAATATGACTTTTATAGATTATATTTGTGTTGATTTGCCTGATCATGTATAGGTCAATTTATAAGTGAATTCACATGATAGTTGCTTTGAGGTAATGGGTCATTTCAGTGTTATATATTAGATTTTTTATTCCACTTCTTCACTTAATAAAACTTTATTTCCCCCTCTCCACATCTGTTGCTTCCATTTTTGCTGCAGTTAGACAGCAGTGTCGAAGTGTCAAAAATCAAACTTAAAATAAGAAGAAAAAATGCAAGAAAAAGCAAGAGTGTGATTAGACTTGGTCTTCACAAGCAATTAATATCTCGTTTGTACTGTAGAACAATTTGAACAAAACCAAATCCAAACAAGAAATTGGAATATGTAGTTTCCAAGAGGAGGATGCAGATAGGATCAGTGAGGAGACAGCAGTTTAAAGTCACCAGTCTTGAAGAGTTTTGTGTGACTTTCATGTACTACACCATTGTACTGACTGTGAAAGCATAGCCAGTGTCTGTGTTTTTTAGGGTTCTTGGTTAAATACTTTCTACCACACACAATGCAGGCTGGAAGAAAAAGAGTATTAAAGAGGAGTTCTCATCTATTGATAATTTGAACATAAATGTTGGGAAGAGTTGAGACTATTATATATAGTATCAGTACTATAGCATAGTATTGTATAAGGGCCTGAAGAGGTAGAAGGTTTGTGAATTATAGTTGTCCATATGCCCTGTCCTGTGTGTCCATCTTCAGTGTCTGCACCAGTTCTGAAGAGGGTCTTTGAGTGAAGGGGCCCCTGAAAAAGGACACCATGCCTAGTTCCATATCCATAATTCTTACTATAAGAACTTCGCTTCCTTTATTAGCATCTGCATTTTTTTCAGACATTTGAGGAGAAGTAGAACTTGTTAAACAGTGCCCACCTACCCCACCCTGAGCAGCTGTCTCACTCCATATCCAAGCTTAAAATCAAATACTACCTCTCACCACACTCCAGATTGTAAAGAAAGCAGGAGGGCTGGACAATGGAGAGAACTGGAGGAACTACTGGTTATGTTGCAGAGCAACTGAAGATGTGTGCAGAAGCAAGTTGTTGGTAGCATTTTGACTGGACTGGAATTTAAACATAATTCTTGCAGTCAGCCCAAAAAGGAGAGCTCCAATAGGGATGGCACCTTGGGCACATATCTACTGAGTGTGCAGAGCAAGGTTAGTGCATACTGGGTATATCAGACCTGAAGGAAATATGTAGTTCAATTGTGCAGGATGGTCCAGAATTCTGTGTGTCACATTCAGAAATCACTAGATTGATGCCTCAGGGCATTAAAGGTTGATAAAACAGGTAAGAAAAGAAAAATTAGCAGTTATAAAGATAGATTTGTGAGTCTGGCCTGAAAGGTTACTCTAGAACTGTGGTTTAATGTTGTCCTTTTCAATCTTGATTTCTCAGAGGAAGTTAAGAAAAAAAAAAAGAAAGGAAAAAAAGGCTTTCTGTTTAGAGATGACTGGTCTGGCTTGCACAGAAGCTTCAGCTTTTATATCGTTAAATTCCATATGTATTTAATAAAATGTTTGATACATCACCTTTCCTAATGAGATGTTTGAGATGTAGTTCAAAAGTATTCAGTGTCTGGAAAGTGTGACTGCATTTTTGAGAAATAGTTTTCTGCTTTAGTAGCTGTAATTAGATAAAGTGACCAAGAGAGACAGTAGTTACCAAGCTTCCAGCAACAGGCACAAGTTATGTAAAATACAGAATGGAAAAAAGGCTTCACAAGAATCTATTCCAGTTTCGATCAAGTCATGAAAGCTTCCTGTGGTTCAACAATCTGAATTTCCTAAACTTCCTTGACAGCAGCTCTGGATAGACCACAAGAATTTAATTTTGTAATTTTGCTGTCAGCTAAGTATATAAACAACTCATCACAGGGATTTGTCTCTTATATTACGTTGTTTGATCTTCCATCTGGCCTTTATTGGTAAGACACAGTATGTACATCTATACCACAGTCAAGTGTAATATGTTTATTGCTTATTACCTATGAAATAAGAAAATAATAGAGTTCAGCACCTTGATAGCTTCAGGTATTTCTGAAATAGATTTGAATCTTATTGCTCTAATTCTGGAGCCCCCAACATAAGAAGGACACAGACCATCTGGATAGGGTCCAGAGGAAGGCAATGAAGATGGTCAGGGAGCTGGAGCATGGAGCACCTCTGCTATGAAGACAAGCTGAGAGTTGGGGCTGTTCAGCCTAGAGAAGAGAAGGCTCCAGAGAGACCTTATAGCAGCCTTCCAGTACCTGATGGGGCTCCAGGAAAGCTGGGGAGGACTGTTTACAAGGGCTTATAGTGATAGGCCAAGGGATAATGGATTAAAACTGGAAGAGAGGAGATTTAGGTTAGATGTTAGAAGAAAATTCTTTAGTGTGAGGGTCATGAAACACTGGCACATGTTGCCCCTGGGAAGTTATGGATGCCCCATCCCTGGAAGTGTTCAAGTGCAGTTTGGATGGGTCTTTGAGCAACATGATCTAGAGGGAGATGTCCCTGCTCATGCAGGGGGATTTGAACTAGTTGAGCTTTCATTCAAGGTCAGGCCTGATGGGGCTCTTGAGCAATCTATTCTAGTTGGAGATGTCCC